TCTGGCCAGCACGACACAGACTGACAAGACTGACAAAGACTCCCAAGGCCTTTTCCCTTGGGAGCAAGTTGGCTGCATTTACCCTGGAAGGGATTTAGTGGTAAAAAAGCACTGCTGTGCTGTACTGGCAAAAGCACTCTTAACATACATGTATCCGTATCAACAAACGGCTTTTACTTAGTCTATTAAAATTAACTTCTCTTTATTTCCCCATGGTTGAAACAACCTTTGTCAGCAAAACCAGGGTTTTGCCAGCTATTTGACCAACAGCTGTTTTCAGTACCTTAAAATGTTATGGGATAAAAATAAAATCTACAGTAGCTATCATAGTAGCTCTCAACTCAGAGTCATATAATAAATATAGTCCACGAATTCCTTGTGTGGATGAGGGGAGATGTGCCTACAAGTGTGTTTATTATTTTAGGAATACTTTCTCCCCGCTGCTATTATGACTTGTTGGTGCAACTTGCTATGCAGCATATTCCAGTGTCTACTAATTGTTGTTTACTAATAGGGCTAAGAGTCACCACAACCTACCCACAGGGCATTTTCTTTTATCTTTTATGATGTCCAAAGAATTTTGAAAAGCACCAACACACTTTTACCGTCCATTATTAATATTAAAATCTTAAGGTTAGGCTTAGACAAGGGGAGGAATATTTGGCTTGTGGTTTTACTGCATCTGCCCTACAAGGGATTATTAATTTTCTGTTGTTGTTGTCTTTTTGCATTCCAGCCATTACAATCATTAGACCTGCATATGGTGAGTAAAATTCTAGTCCTGACGTGTACTTGGTATTTAATTTACCTAAAACTTGTAAACATTAAAAAAGTGGACTTAGAAGAATAGAAAAGGTAACAATAGATTTTTCCTTATAAAATGGTAGCAATAGATCAGATGAAATAAACTGTCTGCACAGGATAAGAAATAATGGGCTTGAATTGTAGGAAAGGAGAGTTAGGAGGATATTCATAGAGACTCTGAAGGCACTCCCTCTCCAGTCAAAGAAGCTTATGCAAAGAAGTGTGTCTTGTGGACAGGAGAGAGAAAAGACAAGAGTAAGTCTGTGTCTGCCCAGCTGTGGACAGAAGATGGTGACCAGAAGATCCACCTGATGGATCTCCAGAAGATGGTGATTTGTAAGCGTTGCGGACAGGAGAGAAAAGACAAGAGTAAGTCTGTACCTGCCTAGCTGTGGACAGAAGATGGTGACCAGAAGATCCACCTGATGGATCTCCAGAAGATGGTGATTTGTAAGCATATGGTCCCAGTTACTGACTCCAGTTTGTCTGGAGTTATGAGCTGTTACTTTACTAGGTGTATGGCTCATGCTAACTACAGGCCCCTTGGCCTATACAGTAGGTCACTCTTCTGCTCCAAGCTATTCCCCTGCCTGTCCTGCAGAGTACTGGGTGTGATACCAGCTCCTGGCCCTCCCATTGCCTCAGCCAGGCAGGTGTCAAGATGCATACAGTACAGATATTTAAAAAAAAATTTGCTATGATATTAACTTGTTTGATTTAGAATAATATATACAAGATTTTTTCCATATGTACTTCAAAGTATGCTCAGAGAGTCTCCAGGAATAGGAGTTTCCCTCTGAAAATCTGGCAGTGTAGCAGAGCTGTTTTGAATGATCTCTTTAGTATGTTTTTGTCTGTGAAAGGCAGTACAGACTTTGGTATATAAATTGTGTGTCTCTAAGGTGATGAACCACGAGAATGTCCCTCACAGCTATTGCTAGATCTTCAGTGCAATCTCTTGGAAGGACATAACTGCTACAGAAAAAACTAAGAGGATTCTGAAATTTCAGAGAAGTGAAAACAAGAACATTTAAGGAAGTCTCGCTTGTTACATCAAACTTCAGAACAAATTTCATCTGATCTAAGTGTGGGCTGCCAGAAGGGGTAGTTTTGTCTTCCCTCTCTGTCCCAACCACAAAGGTCTCTTCTGTCAGAAGTGCTACTCTGTTCCAGCCTGGCTGAAATCTAACCTGTGAAAAAAATAAAGGGATACAAAAATAACAATTAGTTTTCAGCCGTATCAGCCGCAGTTTCATCCTGCAGCCCCAGGCACCCTAACGGTGGCATGAGGGATGGGGACAGGATACAGAGCTGGCAACAGGGGCTGGGGGACCAGTGGCATCCTTTTCTGTGGCATCCTACATTTAGCTCAGCATAATTTGAACTGCAACCCTATGTTTCCTCTGCATTTAAAAAACCCATCTACTGCCCCCTCCATGTTGGTAAAATACAGAATTATCTATTTATTTATACTTACACACCAATTTAGTAGTTCCTTGTGGGACAGAGTTAAACTGGTGCTCAGATGCTCTGTCCAACTGGATACACTTGGAGGAATGTAGAACATCTTTATGCCACTATAATATGGAGAACCTCTGATTATGAAATTATTTCCCAATGTTTTAATTATTGCCATTCTTCCAAAACCAAGGGCAACAAAAGGATCAATTTTAAAATGGGTTTAATTCCTGCAGTTTATCTTGTGGATTATCAGTACTAGCAAAGAAAACCCTCTGTAAGTCAGCAGCAGTGGGCAGAACACAATGCAAATTTCATTCCACACTTCTCTCTCGCGAACCTGGTGCTTTTCTTGCCATCCTGGAGTCTCTTGGCTACCAATGTACCATTCTGCCAGTTTCACTCCCTGTCTCTGATTTTGTGGTTATTTGACAGCTTACCTTCAGAGGGGTGGGGTGGGTTATTGCTGCTGCAGTACAGAAGCATGAAAAGCAGGTATTTTTAAGGCCTAAAACCTGATGGTGGATTCAAATAACGCAAGTCCAAACAAACTCCGAACTGCCACAGGCCAGCTTTGTACACCCTCACATTTTGTAGTAGTAGATAGGCTCCCAGACATGGATTCAGCTAACCCAGCTGTGGTTTCCTTGCGTGGTCTGACTCTGCTCCTCATATGTCAGTAGGCTGAATCCAAAACATTATTTTAAACTACACATCTGTGAAAAGTGAAACTCTTTATTCTTCGGACCTGCAGAAACCAAGCTGCTTTGAAGTGTTCACTGAGATTGTGTCAGGCAGAACAGTGGTGGTTCCCCATCCTCTTTTATGTGCTCCTGTCTTTCACGTGTTACATCTTTGATCTCTTGCATTCACCACTTGTTTGATCCTTTTCATCTGAGTGGGACGCTCACTACCTTTCTCCTTATTCCCTGTAATTTATTTTTTTCCAAGTCTGGATGGTTTCCATATTTCTCCAGTGTTCTCTCTGGGTCTGTTTTGTTTGGAGCAGAAGCTCCCCCTGCTGCTTTATTTTGTAGTGTGCAACATTGTACAGTCGAAAGAAACTGGAAAGTTTTCCAGTTATCTAACAAAGCAAATTCTTGGGAAATAAAGCAAATTATTATTGAAAATGATATAATTTTTTTTTTATTTGCAATTTCAGCTATTCCTGAATTTAACAACAACTTCAAGTAATTTCTCCATAATGAAATTGAATATATCTTGCAGAAGCCTTTATTAAAAATCTAGTCAGTAGCAAACCCTGAGAGAACTTGTGTCAGCAAAAAATGAAATCAGTTCTTCCCCATCTGTTTCTTCTCCAAAACTCCCACGCATCACGCTGTTCCTACACGGACACATACCTGTCTTTGGAGAAGTCATGCTGCAAACTGACTTAACCAGCCTTGGGTTTTCCGCAGACCTTCTCTCCACCAGTATGGACTTGTAGCTGCTTTTGCATTCTTACAGCCCAGTGTTATAGTTACGCACGCCTAATTGTTTGCCTGTGAATTGGCCTAGCGATTTCGGTGAAATAAGGTCCGCCTACAGGTATTTCAGTTTCTGTGCAGTTTTGTGTTCTGCTGCGACTTGAATTTGTACTGCTTTCCTCATGCAAGTGGTCGAGGCGTTTTGGCTTCTTCACGTCCACATTCAAATCAACTTATGGCAGAGAAAGGTCATTGCTGGTGTTAAACCCTGTTCCATAAACCTCCTGTGTGGCCTGATTAACGCTTTGGCAAAGCAGAAACAAGTTGTTCCTGTCAACGCTGTGTTGGCAGCATGGACTTTTGCAGTTAGTAATTCTCCTAATTTCATTTAATATCAGAGAGGTGGTGCCTATTGTATGCCTTGAGGAGGATGCCTTGTCCTCCCCTGCCACCGGTTGGAAAGTTACCCTGTTAGGAGTGGAAAGCGAAATAGCTGACGTGTTTTTGCATATGAAAGCTCATAGAATCACAGGATGGCTGGGGTTGGAAAGGACCTTCAGAGACCATCTAGTCCAACCCCCCTGCCAGAGCAGGGTCACCCAGAGCAGGCTGGACAGGAACCCATCTGGGTGGGTTGTGAATATCTCCAGAGAAGGAGACTCCACACCCTCTCTGGGCAGCCTGTTCCAGGGCTCTGCCACCCTCAAAGTAAGGAAGATTTTTCCTCATGTTGAGATGGAATTTCCTGCGTTCCAGTTTGTGCCCGTTGCCCCTTGTCCTGTCAGCGGGCACCACTGAGAAGAGTCTGGCCCCATCCCCTTGACACCCGTGCCTTAGGTATTGATGAGGTCCCCTCTCAGTCTTCTCTTCTCCAGGCTAAACAAACCCAGGTCTCTCAGCCTTTCCTCCTAAAGAGGTTCTCCATTCCTTTGATCACCTTCACAGCCCTCCACAGGACTCTCTCCAGCAGTTTCTTGTCTTTCTTGAACTGGGGGACCCAGAACTGGACACAGGACTCCGGATGGGGCCTCACCAGAGCAGAGGGGGAGGATGACCTCCCTCGACCTGACGGACACGCTCTTTTTATTGCGCCCCAGGAGACTATTTGCCTTCTTAGCTCGGACACGCTCTTTTTAATGCGCCCCAGGAGACTATTTGCCTTCTTAGCTCGTATATTTTTTGGGGGGGGTTCGGCTTCATTCACCGCCCGGCCGGAGGTCGCACAGAGGGGCGGTGAAGCGCCGGGGCCGGGTCTCGAACCCGTCACCTGGAGCGGGCGAGGCGGGGTCTTTGACCGCGCGCATGCGCGTTGCCGCCCGAGGAGGGGGACAGACCCGGAAATGCTGGGGCTGCTGGAGAAGCTCCCGCCGGGACGGGCCCTCGAGGTGGGGTGGCCGGGAAGGGAAGCGGGGCCCGGGGGCGCGGCGGTGGGAGCAGGGGGGTGTCCCCCGGCATCGGCTGTCGGGGCTGGGGCGGCTGAGGTGCCGCTCTCCGGCAGCCGTGAGGGAGGTCGGTCCCGCCGGCCCGGTGCGGCTCCCCTCAGCGGCCTCCCGCGGGGAGGGCCCCCCCCCAGAGCAGAACCGAAAGTACGGGCTCAAAATACAACGGGGGAGAGGGGGGAGGCTTTTTAGGATGGTCCATAGTTTGTGTTTAGAGGAAGCGTTGAGAACAGTACCCAGTGAAGGGGAATGTGATAACTGAGTTGCATGATCAGCCTCATATCTGCTCTGGGTTACCTGTGATAGGCTCGTGTTCTTAAGTTACGCATCACGTTGTTTCAGTTCCTTCATAAAATAATTGACGGCATATGTGGCCGCGCCTATCCTCGGTACCAGGATTATGGCAGCATTTGGAGTTTGTCGGAGTGGATGGAGGTTTTGGAAGAAACAGTAACGTATTTCAAAGCTGCAGTTGGCAAAAGCCTATCTGATGAAGAGGTAAGGGCTCAATGCTGATTGGGCTTGACTTTAAGAGATCATAGTAGAGTGGTTAGTCTTGTAGTTTATTTAGTACTAAAGTATTTTATAGTGTAGCACTTGAATAGGAGCAGATTAAGCCTAAATAGGTAGGTCAGCAGTATTTAGAGATACATTGGGAAGACTTCAAAAGTGAAATTGACACTGCTTCTCTAGTTTTTGTTTTTGTTTTGTTTTTTTTTAAATAGAACTGGATAATGTTTGTTTAAGTCCTGTTTTATTCACGTAAACAGATAATCTAAGTATACCATCAAATTAAATCTGTTTTTCTTAAAATGCATAATCTTTTGCCCGTTGCTTTTATTTTGACTGCCTGCTAATGGCTAGATCAAAGAAAGATACTTGTGTAGACATAGGATAGTCCATACATCATTGTGTCTCTTTCAGCTAAGCTCATGTATTTTGTCTCCACTCTGAAGTTCAGAAACTTTCAGAGATAAACCTGTGGTGTTTGAGTGTGTGATTTATTTTTTTTGATGGTGTTTTGATTTTAGGGTGGCTTCTAAGAAGGCCCTTAAAGCCTCAATTATTCATCTTCTTTTAATTTAAATTACAAGATTTTTTTTTGGTTCTTCTGAGGCATACTTGAGACTCCACATGCCTTTTGTTCTGCTTGAAGGTCTGTGTGGAAGCTGTGGGATGTTGTCATCTCCTTCCTTAGTTCTAGAGTGAATTCCTCCTCGTACACGCATAGAAATGGTCCCTTGGTTCTGCTTTGTGCAGCAGGAATCTCACTGGGCCTGGAAATGGCCATTCTGCTTTTTGATTACTGGGAGCTGAGGGATGCTTTGCGTGCAGTAAATGCTAAAGAAAGTTATAGGAAGTGATAGTTGCGTGAGGCTGCAAAAGAATGCCAAGAGAAAGATGGTGTGTTTTTTCTTTTATAGTTTATACAATTGCATATTGTACTGTAACAGAAAGCAGAAAGCTGCATTTCCTAGGCTGCCTAAGTTTTGGTGTCATCCAGCTTTAATTTCATCCCTTCTCTCCTTTTTGAAGGTTGTCTTGCAACTGAAATGATGGAATTCAGATTATTGACAGTATCTCCTGGTGGTGACTCCCCCATTGATGTGGAAAAAAAGAAAGAAGTTCTCTTCAAAACCAAAAGTTGATGCTGTAAAATACTGAAGTGAGAAGGCTGTCATGACTTGTGACCAAATAAACTACTAATCCTTTGATAAAAAAATAATAAAATCTTGTATTATCTGTTTGACCAAAAACATAAAAATCCAATGTAAGTTGCTTTTAGTACTAAAGATTTGTAGAACTATAGAAAAGTATCATTTATGACGTGTGCCATATTTGTTTTGCTTAAACTCTGGCAGTGACTGCACAGGACCCTACTAAAACTAAGGTGTCTTACTTGCATAATGTTACCTTTATCTAAGGTGCTGTGATGATGAAGAACGTGATAGAGTACTTGTAGCATTAATGTATTTATACTTGTAAATAGTAAATAAACACTTTATTTTGTGTGTGAATAATTGCAGTAAATTGTTTCTTAATTTATTAATCACTAAACTCGCTCTTTTGAGATGCTGGGAAAAATCAGCTTTACAAACAAAAGCTGTGTAGAACCACAGAATGGATGAGGTTGGAAGGGACCTCTGGAGGTCGTCTTGTCCCACTCCCTGCTCAGGCAGTGCCACCTAGAGCAGCCTACAGAGGACCGTGCGTGGATGGCTTTTGAATATCTCCCGAGGATGGGGACACTACAACTTCTGTAGGTAACCTGTTCAGTGCTCAGCAGTTGAGGAAGAAGCACTGGGGCTTTACTTGGAGTGAAGTTTGGGTTTTTAGCTTTGGTTTTGTATCTTAATTGATGGCTTTTCACTTCAGTATGTTTGTTTTCAAAAGAGGCTGCAGTGCTGGAGAGGAGCTGACCTACATAGGGCATGACTGACTGTAACTATCAAACAAAAAGAGCAGCCAGTGAGAGCAGTATAAAAAAGATGAGGCTAGGGAGTCTTCTATAACAGCTGTCTGGTTAGAAGCTTTGATACCTACTGAGCACGGCTATTACAGGTGGAGTGTGTTATTTCTGTAGTTCATAGTTTCATAGCAATCACAATTTTTATTTTTGCAGGCTGCTCAGCAGATAAATGAGTTAAATCCAAACTATCAAGAAGCAATCACAAAATGTCTGAAGGGCAGAAAGGAAGAAATCAGGAATGCACTATTGGAAAGAGTAAATGGAATCTCTTCTGCCCAGCTGCAAGATTTTGACTGGCAATTAAAGGTGAGATTGTTGTCCTATATAGTATAGACTGTAAAAGTAAGATTATTCTTTATTTTTTCCTTCTCCTTTCTTTTAAAGGTCCAATGTTTATCTCTTTCCTTAACGGAGAGTAAGCATTATGCAGGAGCAGCTGAAAGTGTCATGTGCTATTATGATTTTGAGGCCTGACTAGACAGTATTTTTACTCAAAAAAGAAATATTTGCTTAACTTTAAGAGTAGTACACTGATTCGGGATGTATTTCCCTGACTTTTTTCAAACTTTTAGATTCCTGCAATAAACAGTTATTAAATAATTAGTTTGAAGTAATTTATCTTTGATTTATTTGGTAATAAGGCAATGATAACTGTGGTGCCTGAAGCTGGATGGTGCTTTGGGGTTACGAAGACACAGCTGCTTTAAATTAAGCTCTATCAGAGACTTAAAATAGGAGCAGTGTAAGTAATGTTGTTTAGTTAGTCCATGGGAGCTGTTAAACAGATTTGTAGAGCTGTTAAATAGTTTTCAGTTTCAACAAATATTAAATAATTTGTGCAGAAAGCAGTTTTGGAAATCAAAGAGCAATACCCACAATAGACAAGATTTTGCAAGAAATATGGCAAGTATGGCATCATAATGTGCCTCAGATGAACTGCAGCCAGGGATTGATCTCTCACTAACTGCATTTACTGCTGACAAAAATACAAACTAGACTTACATGAACTCTTTCGTTTTTGCTTGTGGTTTCTTTTAACTTTTTCCTCTGGAGGATTTTTTTGAGTTTCATTCTATTTTGTGATACAAATTTCTGCTACGTGTATGAAGTATTGTATTCATTTAGGTTTAAACCACTTATTTGTTTTTTTCCCTTGAGTTGGTTGTGATTTTTTTTTTTTTGCTTGCCATAGTTGAATCCTACCAAGGACATTGTGTCTCCTTTGCTGTCCCGCATTCTGTTCTCTAAATAAATAAGATAGGTGTGTACAATAGTGACCTATAGTATTATCAACTGACCTTTGATCTTAATATATTTTAAAAGCCTTATCTATACTAGAGTGAATATAGTAGTAAACAAAAAAGAAAGCACAATTGGTATGTAATCCTATTTATCAGTGATTGTCAAATCGGATACCTGACAATGATCAGCTGTAGAGTTAAAAAATTCACAAAGGTGTCTTCTTTCTCCCAACTGCCCCTTTCTGTAAAACCTTTCTTACTTGTTGATTACCAGAACCATTTGAATATGGTGGCTTCAGAATTCATATACTTCACTTTTAAAAGGAGTCATGATCAAATATAACCTTTTCACCTAGAATACAATAATGTAGCGGCTTAGCAATTTGAACAAATTGTTTTGACGTTGTTTTGCTAGGAAGAGGGAGTTTAGTAATTTCAGTATATTGTTGGTATTAATAAACAAAAATCACAACAAGGGTGATGGTGATAAGCAAACCCAAAAACTGGGTGAGATGATTTGTGAGAAGTTAGTTTTGTCAAGTTGATATTTGTTCTGGTAGAACCGATTCAATATAAAGTTCAGATGTGATGCTGTGAAAGACTGAAGAGTTAACGGCTCCGCCTTACATTTCTGTTGTTGTTTTTTGATCAATCTGCATAGCTTGCTCTCTCCAGCGATAAGATCTCCATGCTGCAAATGCCACTTCTCAATCTTGATTTGGACGTGAGAGAAAATGGTGAAATTAAACCAATTTCTATAGAGATGAATAAGGAAGAGTTGCAGAACCTTATAAATGCACTGGAAGCCGCTAACAAGGTAGCTTTTACTGGTATCATCCTTTGTTCCTGACTTTCTTGTGTACTGAGCATATTTTAACTGAAGTTCTTCCAGGTATCTTGCTGAAAACCCAAAGTAAATCATTCATTGGTAAAATGCCTATAAAGTTACAGAAAGCCTTACATAAGGCTGATTGTCTTGGATAGACTTCAGGGGTGTTTTATCACAGTTTAGTGTGGAATTCTTAAAAACCGTAATTAGAATCCTGGTAAGCATAATAGTTGGTTCAGAGCACCATTAAAAAGTCATCTGAGACTGGGAGGAGAAGCAAATGAAAGGACAAAGGGTCAGATGAGAGATGACTTTGAAAGGTTGGAGAGAGAACCCCAGTGTTCCCTCAGCTTTGCAAAATGGCAGCAGTTGGGAATGCATATGGGAGAGTTGTTTGGTTCAAATTTAGTCCTGTAATTTCCATGGCACAGTAAGTCAGGAAGAAAGTTAGAAAGATTCCAGTCCAGTAATTCAAGAAGAAAACTTCAAGTGAAACTTTATTTGGAGTGTCTCGGGTTTCTTAATAGAAAAGACTAAGGGAAGTGAGGATTTCAAGAAAAATCGTTAGAGGAAGAAGCATCATCTCACCTGCATCCTGGTGCCAACTGCAGACCCTAGAGACTCTCCCTGTTCAGTTACATTACATGATTCATTCTGCCTCTGTTCTAAAGGAATATGTGGGAGTTCTGTATTTTCTTTTTTTAAATCTGAAAATGTCTTCAGATACTTAAGAAGTCTGTTACCTGGGAGATGGAATTCTCTTAATGTCTTGTAGGACGGATGTGAAAGTATTGTATCAACATGATTTAGAAGTCGTCAGTATCTAGTTGCTTCACGACATTGAGCAAGCAGGGTGTTTCTTTAGATGTTTTATGTAATGTTACAATGCTTTAGCTGGAATCTGGATGCCAACATTTAGAAAAAAAATCTTAGTATGTAACAACTGAAAATAACACTTTTATGGCTCAGAACTTAGTATTTAACTCTGTAATACCACTGTTAATATTTTGAATTATGAAAGACACTAAGATTATGTCTACGAGTTGCTTTAATGAGGCTGATGTGAGACCTCTGAATAACTACACAGTGCCCAGTAAGATAGAAGCTTTTGTCCAGATACAGGAGGTGGTCTTGTGATACGAGGGTCCTTAACAGCTTGCTTTCCCCTGGATTTTTTCCTCCAAAACTAAAGAAAAACAGTAGCTTGTCATGAACTCTACACTGTGCAAACAAGGGTTCTTCTGAGGCATACTTGAGACTCCACATGCCTTTTGTTCTGCTTGAAGGTCTGTGTGGAAGCTGTGGGATGTTGTCATCTCCTTCCTTAGTTCTAGAGTGAATTCCTCCTCGTACACGCATAGAAATGGTCCCTTGGTTCTGCTTTGTGCAGCAGGAATCTCACTGGGCCTGGAAATGGCCATTCTGCTTTTTGATTACTGGGAGCTGAGGGATGCTTTGCGTGCAGTAAATGCTAAAGAAAGTTATAGGAAGTGATAGTTGCGTGAGGCTGCAAAAGAATGCCAAGAGAAAGATGGTGTGTTTTTTCTTTTATAGTTTATACAATTGCATATTGTACTGTAACAGAAAGCAGAAAGCTGCATTTCCTAGGCTGCCTAAGTTTTGGTGTCATCCAGCTTTAATTTCATCCCTTCTCTCCTTTTTGAAGGTTGTCTTGCAACTGAAATGATGGAATTCAGATTATTGACAGTATCTCCTGGTGGTGACTCCCCCATTGATGTGGAAAAAAAGAAAGAAGTTCTCTTCAAAACCAAAAGTTGATGCTGTAAAATACTGAAGTGAGAAGGCTGTCATGACTTGTGACCAAATAAACTACTAATCCTTTGATAAAAAAATAATAAAATCTTGTATTATCTGTTTGACCAAAAACATAAAAATCCAATGTAAGTTGCTTTTAGTACTAAAGATTTGTAGAACTATAGAAAAGTATCATTTATGACGTGTGCCATATTTGTTTTGCTTAAACTCTGGCAGTGACTGCACAGGACCCTACTAAAACTAAGGTGTCTTACTTGCATAATGTTACCTTTATCTAAGGTGCTGTGATGATGAAGAACGTGATAGAGTACTTGTAGCATTAATGTATTTATACTTGTAAATAGTAAATAAACACTTTATTTTGTGTGTGAATAATTGCAGTAAATTGTTTCTTAATTTATTAATCACTAAACTCGCTCTTTTGAGATGCTGGGAAAAATCAGCTTTACAAACAAAAGCTGTGTAGAACCACAGAATGGATGAGGTTGGAAGGGACCTCTGGAGGTCGTCTTGTCCCACTCCCTGCTCAGGCAGTGCCACCTAGAGCAGCCTACAGAGGACCGTGCGTGGATGGCTTTTGAATATCTCCCGAGGATGGGGACACTACAACTTCTGTAGGTAACCTGTTCAGTGCTCAGCAGTTGAGGAAGAAGCACTGGGGCTTTACTTGGAGTGAAGTTTGGGTTTTTAGCTTTGGTTTTGTATCTTAATTGATGGCTTTTCACTTCAGTATGTTTGTTTTCAAAAGAGGCTGCAGTGCTGGAGAGGAGCTGACCTACATAGGGCATGAAAAGGATAATCCCAACCCACTTGATACAGCAGATAATGGGTAAGTTCAAGTCTAAATCTTTCTGAAACCATAACGCTAGAGAAGAGAACACCAGGAATCTTACAGTTGCTACTATTTGTTAAAGCATCCTTCCATAGGTGAAGATCAGCTTATTTGCAATGCTTACGTAAATAGTAATGTGTACCTCTCAAGATGCATGTGTTTTACACGTTTTATGTATATAAAAAGGCAAAGTGTTGATGGCTTACCTTCTTCATAGATCCAAAATCAGGGTCCTGTATTTCATCTATGTTTTGTTGTGCGGTAGTTTTTTGTATAAGCAAAGTGTAAAATAATACATCTGTACAAAAAATTGAACTTCAGAGGGCTCTCTTGTAGAAAGGCCTCTATGAGTAAATAGTAATGTGTACCTCTCAAGATGCATGTGTTTTACACGTTTTATGTATATAAAAAGGCAAAGTGTTGATGGCTTACCTTCTTCATAGATCCAAAATCAGGGTCCTGTATTTCATCTATGTTTTGTTGTGCGGTAGTTTTTTGTATAAGCAAAGTGTAAAATAATACATCTGTACAAAAAATTGAACTTCAGAGGGCTCTCTTGTAGAAAGGCCTCTATGAAAGGGATTTTGGTAGGCTTTATGGATAGGAATATAAGTAGGTTTATAATATTAAAGCTAGCACTAGAAGTTTTATGGGGCAGAGAACATTTAAAAAAATGTGTGTGTATAAAATGCAGATTTTTTTTCCTTTTGTTTGATACTGCTGCATTTAGTAAGATGTGCACATTGGTCAGTGTCAGGGGTAGAGAATTGTAAGACTGAAAGACTGGAAACCTATGTTACAGTGAAATGACTGCAATCCTTCAGATTGAGCCAGATCTGGCTCAATGATAGTCTTGAATATACGTAAGCAACAGAAATTTGATAATGGATCAGGTAACAGATAAAAACCTTGCATAAATGGTACAGAATTCAAGCTAAAAATTCAGATTGGAATTGATATTTGTTTAACTTTATGAAAAAATCTGGAAAGATTTCCTGCCGGTTGTCCAGTAGTCACTTCAGGAGCGTGCTGGTTTTTTAAATTGTGACTTTAAGGAATAAATTGCTCAGGTCTATTTATTTTATTCATAGATAGATTTGCTATGATCCCACTTCTCCCTTTGCTCTAGATCTAGTCACTTTATAGAAGAATCACTATATTATTTTGATACGGCCTTATGTGTTTAAATGCTTCGTGGGTCATACGATGCAGCCTGAAGGTGTAACTGCTTTAGCTTTCATTACACTGACAGCATTTGTTGCTAAAAGGCTTTTGTAAGTAAAAGAGGCTTAATGTTTGGTACCTGATTTTTTTTTAACTGACTTTTTTATTGGCACGGTTTTTATTCTTTAGGACAAAAGGACTGAAAATTATTCCTTTTCTTTACAGCAGCAGAAATAATAAACAGCTGGCAATTTATTTCATCAAGTACGCTATCAAGTTTGGGATGTCTTTTGGATAGAAGACGCTTGTGTGCTGATCCATTTATACAATTTATAGATGTATAATGTGAACACATTTAAGAAAGCAGATACCTAGAAAGTCTGCAGTTCAAGGAATATTAAGGTGGATATTTAAAACTTACTTTGCAGTATGTTGCTGAAGAGAACTTCTGTGTTGTTACCTCTTAGTTTTCAAAGATCAATTGTTCAAAATGGAGAACTTCATTTTTCAAAATGAAGTTCTCCATTTTCTCAACAATAAAAGGCCACAAATGATAACTTACATTTTTATGTTCAACATATGAAACTTCTCTTGCAAAATGTGCCCCATATCTAGCTGATAGAAAATAATATTTTTTAAATGTCAATGCTATTTAAAAATATTTGTGACTGTTTCTTAGTGTTAGAGACTTAAAGTTTACATAGTTTCATTTGAAATTTTATAGCAAGTTATGGAAAAATGCATTTATAATTACTCTAAAGGTATATGGTGGTGGTTAATCTTTTGTATCATCCTATGTTTGTCCTGTATTTGCTGCAGCACTGAACAGGAAAAGCTGAAGAATTGTCTTTCAATGAATTTTTTTGCTTTAAAAAAAAAAAAGACAATTTCTGTTACAGTGACAGCAATAAATGTGCAATGAGCTGCTTTTTTGTGGGTGTTAGACTTTATTGAAAGTCCGAGTGTTTTTTATATAACCATCAAAATGATGTTTTTGACAGGGGGCATAACACCACCGTGTGAATGGCTGGAGAGGGAGAGGAGAACCAGTTGACAGGCCGTTGAGCAGCTAAAACATGATTGTCATGGAACTGGATTTGAGAGGTGTGTCCTCACCTTACATCCCTACAGAGGAGCAAACTGTCCTCACAAAGGATGTAATGGCCTCCAGTAGATGGAAAGGAAAAGGACACAACAGAGTGGAGAAGACAGCTTGCTGCTCTGTACTTTGTACTGTCTGTCAGTAGCTGGTTTCCTTCTGTTGCTGTCCTGAGAATTAGGTACTTCAGGGACATGTGCTCGTATTCTCCTGGTGTTTACCCCTGCAGAGCAGCTCACTCCTGGATCCCATGGTTGCATAGACCAAAAAAAAGGAAAACAACCATCATAAATACAGTGGTGAAACCTCTGTGGTTTTGCAGGTACTATGTACAGACCTCTTAAGCATGTAATTAAGACCAGAAACAAAACTTTGTGCATAGGCTCTTTGAACTAATGAAAATAGTACATATAATGGACACACTGTATGAAGTTTAATTTCAACGCGTGAAAAGCACCTACAGAAATTCAAGCTGCGTAAACAGACCTGTAATTTGAATCAGAAAATGCAGCATATCCTGATACAAAATATAAAAGTGAATTATAAAAATGTTACTTGCCCTCCATTGGCGTTACTTGCACTTCTCTCCATTTCATAGAAATCTTCCCTTGATTTCAGAAAAAACATGTTTTTCTTAATCAACCATTTCATCTTTGATCTCGGCACACTGAAGCGAATCAGAATTGGATCTGACCAGTGAACTGTCGATATGGAAGTGACTGCTGTAATAAAACTGCTTTTGCAACAAAGCAATTGTGTATGTCAAGAAGCTGTGTTTTTTAAAAGATCTATATAAGCCTGTAGAATGTTTCTGAGTTCTGGAGCAAGCCTTTCTGATAAGAAACACACCGAATCATAGTTATGCTTCCATCTGAAAGGTGGTTTTAGGAACCAGTAACACCTTGTCCTGAAGTATGCAAGCTTTGCTATCACTTTGCATTGTGAATTAATAATCATAATGAAGTAGCAGAAATAAAGGGATTTTTTATTCTTCTGCTACTGGAGAATGCTTTCATAAGTGTCTCAAGGTAGTCTATAAAGTTTTTTACTTTTTTAAATCCACCTTAATTACATTTGGCAGTATATTGTGCTTCCCTCTGTAAATGTATAGTTTATATTTTCTTCAGGACGTCTCCAGAAAGGCCAAGAGACTACTACCAAAACGTAGAGGAGGAGACAAATCTTACAAAGATTCATCCTTTGGACTTTTGCTAGCCTGCGTGGTTCACATCATCAGGCTGCTCCGTGGAGAGATCATTGCAGGAGCAGAACCTTGTGTTTGGATGCTGGTTTGCGCAGGACATACTGGATGATCAGCTCTTCGTGCTGTCTACGGCTGGGAATTTTACTCAAAGGTACTCTTCATATGTGCTAACACCAATGAGAGTCCTACATCGAGAGGGCTGTGGCTATTTTTTAGTATCAGATTAGTCAGCTGATTTAGCCAATACGATAATGAAAGGCACCAGAGAGTATGGAGACTTTAACTGGAAAGTACTGCAGGTCCACAGGTACTGCTTTGGTGGTGGACTGTCTTGAGGGGGGGAAGGATCCCTAGCATCGTATAGATTAAATAACTTTTATTTTAATGGCTACAGTAAAAGAAGGAATTTTTGTTTCTTGGGAATGCAGAGATTTCAGACCTCTCATATTTCTTTTAATATTGATTTAGATGGATGATGTGATGAGAGCTGCTATTAACTGCCTTTGTAAAATCCAGCTTTACAAACAAAAGCTGTCTAGAGTCACAGAATGGATGAGGTTGGAAGGGACCTCTGGAGGTCGTCTTGTCCCACTCCCTGCTCAGGCAGTGCCACCTAGAGCAGCCTGCAGAGGACCATGCACGGATGGCTTTTGAATATCTCCTGAGGATGGGGACACTACAACTTCTGTAGGTAACCTGTTCAGTGCTCAGCAGTTGAGGAAAAAGCACTGGGGCTTTACTTGCAGTGAAGTTTCGGTTTTTAGCTTTGGTTTTGTATCCTAATTGATGGCTTTTCACTTGAGTATGTTTGTTTTCAAAAGAGGCTGCAGCGCTGGAGAGGAGCTGACCTACATAGGGCATGAAAAGGATAATCCCAACCCACTTGATACAGCAGATAAGGGGTAAGTTCAAGTCCAAATCTTTCTGAAACCATAACACTAGAGAGGAGCACACCAGGAATCTTACAGTTTCTACTATTTGTTAAAGCATCCTTCCATAGGTGAAGATCAGCTTATTTGCAATGCTTACATAAATAGTAATGTGTACTTCTCAAGATGCATGTGTTTTACACA